AACCACAGTCACCCCAAGCCAGCATAAAATTACTAATACACTGTCATCGCCCTCACCCCTGGTGTTGGGTTAAGTTACTCTTCATAGCGGTAACTTAGGAACTTAATAATAATAATACGTAGGCACTCACTCATCATTTTTCTCGTGTCCCAAGGCCGTCAGCGTGTTGTCAATCTTCATCACCTCTTCGGTGGCTACGTTCTTAATGTTGAACTTGAACTCCATGACGCAAAACTACGAATATTTTAGTACTCGGCGAAGATACCAGACGGGTAGAACGATTATTGTCGGTCGTACACTAGCAACGCGAAAACCTAAAATGTGCTAATCAATTTGTTTCGTTTTCGTCTAGTAATTATCGTCGGGGAGGCGTGAATCCGGAATCGTATCGACTGAGGACGCCCGTAAACGGTAAACCTTGGAAATAAAGTGTCGCACTGCCGCAGTAGGCGGTCGAGCAGGCTAGTAATAAATAAAATCGGCCGTGAACGATTCGGTACCTAGTTTAGGTAGGTACCAGTCTGTATATCTACAACCGTGGTCAAAGCTGGCTGACAAGGGTAGGAACAGGATGTAAAAAATATTGATAAGACGACTTTTACCGCCAAATGTTTAGTGTACGGGCACAATGATAACGTATAACGTTATTGTTCTATGATAACGCACAACCTGGTCAGTGGCGGGACTCCGCAAACCGTCATAACTCATAAGCACGATTGAAGATAAATAATTAGTATTATTCATTATCATTATCAATTATTTATCATTGATCAATAATATTAATTATTCATTTATATGTCTTGGTCACTGTTCTTCTAATCTTCAACCGGTGGTACATTACCATATTTGGGGGCCTTTTTTTCAGTTCGTTAACGTAGGTCACAGATAACAACAGGTTGTCTTCTACAGCGGTAGCGGTGTATTTATGAATTGTTTCCTCTTAAGGGAGGTTGAGGACTTTTCTAAGATCATGTCACTTTTTGTCAATATTTTTTTTACCTACTCAAGATCTTAAACTAAAAAAAACTGATGATGAATGAAAAAGAAGTATTAAGACTGAATCACTACAAACAAAATTGAAAAAAGAAAACCTAATCTGATCTCAATTTATTTTTAAAAAATCAAAAAAATAATTTTTATTGTTTAATTTTAGTGTATAAGTATTATACGTTCAAAAGTTAGTTAGGTACAAAGTTAAAAATGTTTTTACTTTTATTTTTATTCGAGTCTAAGTATTTTATTTGTTGTTTAAGTATTATTAATATTATCCTGATAATAATATGTTGGTTACATTTGTACTATTTGTTATACTTCAATAAATATTTTTAAACTAAATCGATAATTTTGGTCACTTTTTCACTTTTTAAAATTATGAACACAGTGGCAGCCCTTAATATTATATATTATCATTCAACTAACTTGCATCTATCATCGTTCTCGAATATAAAACAAAATATGCGGGTTATTAATAAAATAAACATGACAAACCCAATATTATTTTATTTTAATTTAATAGTTTTATTCAGATATTATATTGTCTTAGCTAGATTACAATCACAGTATCTCGAACTAAGAAGCCCTAAGGCCGAGCACAGTTTGAGAATCTATACTCAATATGTCCTTTGCTGTTTGCCTGTATAGGTAGTGTATAGAATACCAACTAACAAAATTATTAATCATTTATCTTTATACCTGAGCTCATGCCCGTTGGTATAAATAAAATTAAAAATTAAAATTATTATTAGAATATCGCATTGATTATTTTTGTTAGATTTAAAATAGTAAACAATTATAATAAAAAATTAAGTTTCCTTTCTTTGGTGGCCAGTAACTGATATGTACTAATATGTACCTAACCAGTGTCCAGTATGTTCACCAATAACTTCGCCAATATTTAAATCTATTGTTATTTTTTAAACAAATTGAATGCAAATAACTAAACAGTTGACATCAGTAGAAGCCAACTGCCAATTGCCAAAATTCTCTAAAACAATTGTTAATACCTAAAAAAAAAAAACAAGGAGGGTCTATTCCCCAAAATATACTACTGGTCTTCAAGCAAACACAATAATTTACCGGTATGTACTTGTATAGATGCCTCGTGCAGTCGTACATACAACAAATCGATGATTTTTTCAAGCGGGGAAGTATGGGTAATTGCCAATGGGACAAGGTAAGCACTATTTAGTGTAGACCATGATTTTTTTTTGTCTATCGACATTTTAATGACTACCACAAGAGTGACTACGACAACCTTCAAAATAACAGTAATCTGTTTATTTTGTACATTTTATAAAGTTGGTAGGTAGCGTTGTTTTTTTGCTGATTAAGTTGGGAAAAATACACAAGTTGTATGTACCTATATAAATATTACATGGATAAGGGATCCAATTGCTCCAAGTGACCATGGTATATTTTTAACACCACGTAATTGACTAGCGGAAACTCCAAGGTTCCTGAACTTGTCAGTTTGAATATTACCAACACTTTCTGAAAGATCCTAAAAAGTCTAATAAAACCTAAATTTTCATATACTTTTCAAAAAAAGTACCTCATTAGTACACGGTAGTTTAAGTCAGTGTTAATTGTTATTATTGTCATATAATCATACTTCACAGGATCAGCAACCACCTTCACCTCGTACAATCTACAAATAAATAATAACAACACTAGGTACATATATTTTTTATCATATCCATATTTAAGTCGTCGAATTAACCAACTTCGACTATCATACAGTAATGTGTAGTTGTGTCTATCGACCATCGTCGGTAGGTATAGGTACGTCCAGCATCCAGTCCACATGAAATGTCACAAATAGATTTATATTATAGAAAACTTCGTGTAAACAACGTGTAAATAATTTTCTTAAAGTGTAGAAAATGTGTGTTGAGTATTTTTCGTAAACTTATATTGTGAAAAATTGAATCATTCAGTTGGCTAATGACAATTCAACTGTCAAATGTGATGCATGTACAATTTATTAACAACAATAATATATACAAAGTTATTAATAAATTAGTATAAAATAAAATGTATAGAATTTATTTAGTTTGAAAAATATTCTATTCCAGTGTTTTCCCTACACCTAGGTATAATTTTGCTAGTATATTTTACATTCGGAACATCTACCTATATTACTCATTTAGACAATCGATTTATGTAAGAATGGACTGAGAATGGAGATAGCATGCGTCGTCTCACTGTCCCAGTCTTAAAACGCACAAAAACGAACAACATGACAGACTTATGATCAGCGACCAATTTTGTGCAGTAATGTTTAGTAAAATACTTAAGCTTTAAGAGGACATTAGGAATAAATAAATATCTAAATATATCCAGTTCAGAAAATCTCGTACTTTTTTTTAACAGAATCCAAAAGATAGAAATACTATGTCAAAATAAATTTACATTACCTATATTACATAATATATACCTACTAGGTATATAAAATATAAGTATAAAATTATAAATGTTAAATTATTGTTGACATGTAGGATGTATATTGTATATAGGTATCATAATTAATAAATTATAAATGATTGCAATTTGCAGTAAAAAGATTTTTTTTTTATTCATCTTTGTAGTAAATATTTTATATAAATCTGAGGGTTGTATTTATAGTCGATGGTTAAGAATAAGTGAAATAAGTAAATGGATAAGAATGCTTAGTTTTTTAAACTGTAATACCTACTTACTCTAAATTTAAATTAGGTACATACAAATAAAACTTGTAGAAGATATATTATCTTCTTCGTCTTGAAGAATAAATTAAATATGAAGTACCTACTGGTAATATACTACCGCCTACCTATATATTATATAATTTACACAAAAGATAATGTGAACTTGTGAAAATGTTTAGACAGTCAAGTACTTAATGTCTATAAGGTATATGTTTTACTAGGTGGGTTACCGGCGTTTACTAAACATATAATACAATTAATGTCAAATTATGTAAAAATCGTTTGTAACCACGAAAAAATGATCTGTTACCCACCCACAACCACTCGAAACAAAGTTTTTATATGGCAGTACCGTTACGAAAGTTTGACTTCGAAATCATTTGTAACCCTCTTTTAAAATTATTATTAGTAGGTACTTCGTACTTAATTACCATTTACCTTATTGTACTTATAGATATCGTAACAACTAAAACTATGTAAATGTATATACTATATACTAACAATGTTAAACAATTATGTTGTTATAATTGTTGTTATCAATAGCATTGTGCGGATTATTTGTGCGGGAAGAACCTCACGTCTGTCGTGGTTAACCAAGACCGGTCAAAGGGTTTGCTATGAGGACGAATAATAATAATAATTATACTCCATGTTAATTATAATTTATTGTCTATAGATAATATAAGTATATAACTACACCATATTATATTACCTACCTTTTGAATTAATTTAGCCATATAATGAAGAAGGTTACAAATTGTATATTATTATATTCCGTACACTCATGACGCATTGCGGCGGTAGCAGTAAAATTCAGCCGAACACAAATTATCGATGTAAAGTGTGCGGACCAGGTTTCAGTTAGCTGCAGGTCAAACTTTCGTAATATGACACGCTGTATAACGTCGTCATCAGTGGCGTAATTAGAACTGCATTTTGGGAGGAGGGGATTAATCTTTATACTACCTATACAGTATAATTGTAGTATTATATTAATTATTAAGCTTTACTCTTTATATTTGCTAGTAGCTACAACAGTGCAAGTGCGATAAAAAAAACTACTTTATAAAAATGAATTAAAATATTGTATTATTCAACAAGATGAACACTTTGTCATAAAATAAAAATTATAGTAATGAAACTACTAGTTATTCGGTACAAATAATAATATATTGCTCTCAAAAATAACTATCTACTTCAAATTATTAATTTTTAAGACTTGTATTTAACGTATTGTTTTTAAAACAATATGGATTAAGTGAAAGTGAGTCAAATTGTTAAATATAGGCAGTTGATTATTTCTATATGTATTTATTACCATAGAGTGCTGTGATGGAATTTGAGATCCCGTTTCACAGAGTTCCCATACTTGTCAGTTTGAAGTACACCAACAACTTCAGGATGTGGGATCAATTCTTTGAACCGGCTATCAACGCTGGATATAAGTTTAAAAAATTAAATTAAAATAAATCTGAATAACTACAAATTATGATAGGTATACTTACAAATCATTGTCATGATTGTACTTAAACTTCATACTATCAGTACCACTTTGTACAATCTACAAATAATAATAATAATAATACAATAATTATGCATTATGCCGAGCTACACAAAAATATATTTATTTAAATATTTAACGGTTCACCAATATTTAACTGACCAATCATGTAAATTCATTAAATGTTTACTGATTGTTTATGTAACCCTGAACCTGGCATTAGTTTATGTTATAAGTATATACAATCAGTGGCGTATTTTCAATTTTTTTCTGGGGGTGGTCCAATAATTCCAACATAATATAGATATAGGTACTGATTTATAGAAATAGTTTTTAATAGATTATAAGAATAAAAAATAGTTGTTTTATTATATTTTATAATTTTCAAGTACAAAATCCAAGTGTCTTTTTTTTTACAAAGTTTTATTTTTTTATTTGAAGACATATTTATTCCAATTCCAATTTCCAAACAATAAATGGATACAAATAAATTATAAATTATACAACTATAAAAAAAATAAATTTGATAGCATTTATTAAATAATTATGAAATGTTAGGTTTTGGCAAATCTGTATTTACACCTATCACAAATGAGAGACAATAATTATTCTCAGTACACGTTGACAATTAATATTATTTCGATAGCCGTTTAATAATATTATGTTGTCAACTTCGTGTTAACACGTAAAAATAATGAAAGGTTTAAATTGTAGAAATAATATGACTTTATGACGACAGTCGTCCATATCACTCTGCTAACCTCTGCACAGAAAATAAATACTAAGTAGGTAAACATGGTTCTAAATGAATACTAATTGTCGGCCAGTAGACTCCAAAAATTACATTAATGCAGTGCCGTAAAAACCGGGTGTGCAAAGTGTGCACCGCACACAGGCCTCGGGCCTCATATATATATCGAAGGGCCTCAAAAGATCTAAAGACTAATATTAAACTAATATAAAATTATTAAAATATATAAATTATTTATTATTGATTTGGAAACGAAACCAATGTTATTTCATTTTTTTTTTATATTGCCTGGAGTCGTGATCACTGTTTTTAGATTTTGAGAGGAACGAACAAATGTAACGTACGTTTGGCCAGCCCCCCCCCAAAGGAAAAACTGTAAACAAACTATACAGATATTTAGCACGTAATTCGCACGAATTCGCACGCCTGGTTTGATAATTCGCACGACCTTCCTTCCCCCTCAAAAATCAAAATCCATGGGGGGGGCCAGCAACACGTCTTGCCAGCCCCCCCCATAGTTTAAATCAACATTTTCGCAATTTTTTTTTTGCAGATATTTAGCACGTGATTCGCACGTATTCGCACGCCTAGTTTTGAAATTCGCACGACTCTCCTTCCCCCTCAAAAATAAAAATCCATGGGGGGGGGCCAGCAACACGTCTTGCCAGCCCCCCCCATAGTTTAAATCAACATTTTCGCAATTTTTTTTTTGCAGATATTTAGCACGTAATTCGCACGAATTCGCACGCCTGGTTTGAAAATTCGCACGACCTTCCTTCCCCTAGAAAAACAAAAATTCATGGGGGGGGCTGGCAAAACGTTTCGCCAGCCCCCCCGGAGGTCCAAATTAACATTTTCGCAAATTTTCTTCTGCAGACATTTAGCACGTAATTCGCACGAATTCGCACGCCCGGTTTGAAAATTCGCACGACCTTCCTCCCCTCCAAAAACAATAAAATCATTTTTTGTCAAGAGAGATTTTTTATTCAATCAAGATATTTTCCATTGTACTTAGAATATTTTCTTATTAAATACAGTTGTCTATTAAGTTTTTTATTTAATATGGATTGTATATTAAAAATAGATTTTTTTTATTAACTGCAGGTATTTCACTAAAGTTTTTTTATACATTTTTTATTCAACTAAGCTTTTTTTTAGGTTATACGCAATATTGTAATTAAATATTTTTCCAAGCTTACCATTATAATCTTGATTGAATAAAAAAGCCTAGTTGAATAAAAAATCTATAAAAAAACCTGAGTAAATTACATTTAGTTAATAAAAAAAATCAATTTTTAATAAACAATCTATAATAAATAAAAACTGTATTCAATAAAAAAAATAACGTATGTAGAATAGAAAAAATCTTAATTTAATAAAAAGTCTATCTTGACAAGAAACCTAAATAAAAAATCTATGTTGAATAAAATATAATCTAATTTTTAATAAAAAATTTGATTGTATACAAAATCTAAAAAAAATCCTTCGTAGAATGCTTATAGTTAATAAAAAAACAATCAATTTTTAATAAATAATCTATTTTAAATAAAAATCTATATTTGATTAATGAATCTATATTAAACAAAAAAACCATGATAAAAAATTGTATTCAATAAAAATAATCTAAGTAGAATAGAAAAAAATTGTATTAAATAAAAAAGCCTAGGTGATTGAAAAATCTATAAAAAAAAGCCTGAGTTAATCACCTATAGTGAATAAAAAATAATTAATTTTTAATAAACAATCTAAAATAAATAAAAAACATTTAGTATTCAACAAGATTTTTTTCCATTATAACCGTAATATTAAAGACTTCCGATCTAGAGAAAATCTATATTTTATAAAAAAAAAACAATATCAAATAAAAAACTTAATAGACAACCGTATTTAATAAAAAACTAATCTAAGTAGGACGTAGGTACAATGGAAAAAAATCTTGTTGAATACTAAATGTTTTTTATTTATTTTAGATTATTTATTAAAAATTAATTATTTTTTATTAACTATAGGTGATTTACTCAGGCTTTTTTTTATAGATTTTTTAATCACCTAAAATAATCTAAAATAAATAAAAAACATTTAGTATTCAACAAGATTTTTTTCCATTGTACCTACGTCCTACTTAGATTAGTTTTTTATTAAATACGGTTGTCTATTAAGTTTTTTATTTGATATTGTTTTTTTTTTATAAAATATAGATTTTCTCTAGATCGGAAGTCTTTAATATTACGGTTATAATGGAAAAAAATCTTGTTGAATACTAAATGTTTTTTATTTATTTTAGATTGTTTATTAAAAATTAATTATTTTTTATTCACTATAGGTGATTAACTCAGGCTTTTTTTTATAGATTTTTCAATCACCTAGGCTTTTTTATTTAATACAATTTTTTTCTATTCTACTTAGATTATTTTTATTGAATACAATTTTTTATCATGGTTTTTTTGTTTAATATAGATTCATTAATCAAATATAGATTTTTATTTAAAATAGATTATTTATTAAAAATTGATTGTTTTTTTATTAACTATAAGCATTCTACGAAGGATTTTTTTTAGATTTTGTATACAATCAAATTTTTTATTAAAAATTAGATTATATTTTATTCAACATAGATTTTTTATTTAGGTTTCTTGTCAAGATAGACTTTTTATTAAATTAAGATTTTTTCTATTCTACATACGTTATTTTTTTTATTGAATACAGTTTTTATTTATTATAGATTGTTTATTAAAAATTGATTTTTTTTTATTAACTAAATGTAATTTACTCAGGTTTTTTTATAGATTTTTTATTCAACTAGGCTTTTTTATTCAATCAAGATTATAATGGTAAGCTTGGAAAAATATTTAATTACAATATTGCGTATAACCTAAAAAAAAGCTTAGTTGAATAAAAAATGTATAAAAAAAACTTTAGTAAAATAACTGCAGTTAATAAAAAAAATCTATTTTTAATATACAATCCATATTAAATAAAAAACTTAATAGACAACTGTATTTAATAAGAAAATATTCTAAGTACAATGGAAAATATCTTGATTGAATAAAAAATCTCTCTTGACAAAAAATGATTTTATTGTTTTTGGAGGGGAGGAAGGTCGTGCGAATTTTCAAACCGGGCGTGCGAATTCGTGCGAATTACGTGCTAAATGTCTGCAGAAGAAAATTTGCGAAAATGTTAATTTGGACCTCCGGGGGGGCTGGCGAAACGTTTTGCCAGCCCCCCCATGAATTTTTGTTTTTCTAGGGGAAGGAAGGTCGTGCGAATTTTCAAACCAGGCGTGCGAATTCGTGCGAATTACGTGCTAAATATCTGCAAAAAAAAAATTGCGAAAATGTTGATTTAAACTATGGGGGGGGGCTGGCAAGACGTGTTGCTGGCCCCCCCCATGGATTTTGATTTTTGAGGGGGAAGGAGAGTCGTGCGAATTTCAAAACTAGGCGTGCGAATACGTGCGAATCACGTGCTAAATATCTGCAAAAAAAAAATCGCGAAAATGTTGATTTAAACTATGGGGGGGCTGGCAAGACGTGTTGCTGGCCCCCCCATGGATTTTGATTTTTGAGGGGGAAGGAGAGTCGTGCGAATTTCAAAACTAGGCGTGCGAATACGTGCGAATCACGTGCTAAATATCTGCAAAAAAAAAATTGCGAAAATGTTGATTTAAACTATGGGGGGGGCTGGCAAGACGTGTTGCTGGCCCCCCCCCATGGATTTTGATTTTTGAGGGGGAAGGAGAGTCGTGCGAATTTCAAAACTAGGCGTGCGAATACGTGCGAATCACGTGCTAAATATCTGCAAAAAAAAAATCGCGAAAATGTTGATTTAAACTATGGGGGGGGCTGGCAAGACGTGTTGCTGGCCCCCCCCATGGATTTTGATTTTTGAGGGGGAAGGAGAGTCGTGCGAATTTCAAAACTAGGCGTGCGAATACGTGCGAATCACGTGCTAAATATCTGCAAAAAAAAAATTGCGAAAATGTTGATTTAAACTATGGGGGGGGCTGGCAAGACGTGTTGCTGGCCCCCCCCATGGATTTTGATTTTTGAGGGGGAAGGAGAGTCGTGCGAATTTCAAAACTAGGCGTGCGAATACGTGCGAATTACGTGCTAAATATCGGCGCAATTCATTTATGGATTTTCCATTGGGGGGGGGGGGGCTGGCCAAACGTACGTACAAATGTACTGATTTTACAAGATGTGTATAATTTTTTTCATTTCTGTCGGTCATCAACATTGGGTAGTAAAAATATTTCGAATTTCGAGATCAGCATTTTTTCTGTTAGAAAAGTGAATCTAGTTGGTACTTTTTTAGATCGAAACCGAAATTTTTAGTTTTAAATATTAAAAAGTGTCAAAAAAAAAAAATTGTCATTTTTACCTAAAACAAAAATGTTATTTTTTGGTATAACTCGAAAACGAACAACCGTAGTCCGTAGACCATTGAAGTTTTCACCAAATATTTATATTAATATTTTCAATAAATTACATTTTGGAAATTTTTACTTTTTTGAGTTATTTATAGCCTTGAGAAATTATTTTAAAATTATAGATTATTTTAAATATAAATTTAAATTTTTTTTTGTTTAAGCCCGAATTTTTGCCTGCTGACTTTAAAAATTGCAAAAAAAGTTTTTGAGGTGTGTATTGAAAAAGATAATAAGGGGCCTCAATATTTTGGTTTTGCACACAGACCTCAAGTAGCCTAGTTACAGCACTGCATTAATGTTTTATGTTATTATAAAAAATAATAAATTCTTTACTGCTCACATCGGATCAATGAGCTATTATTATTATTTACTACATAATTTACTAGGTGTATATTTAATTTGTACTTACATAAGTAATAGATCTAATATATTTTATTGAAGAAATAATATTCAAATACATGCTGCACTCGTAGCCGACTCCGTCGTTCGGTAACAAAATACAAACATGAAGTAATATTAGTAAATGATTCTACGACAATTGCCGTGTTTACAAAGCAAAAATTCAAATAGATAAATAATAGCTACCAGCTATACTGTCCTATAGAAATAGTTTATTGGAGAATGATGTGCGTCGTCAATTTCTTGCGATAAGAATGTTTTGACTTTTTTGAGAATTATTGATGTTTATCTAATATGGGTATTTTATAAAGTGTAATACTACAATACAAGGATAAGTTTAGTTACACGGGTTTTTGAACGTTCGGTCGTTGGCTAATTTTAAACTAATATTTCATATAAATATTTTGTTCACGGGAAAAAACCTTGTCTGCGTGGGCTTACATAAATATCGGGGTTTGCAAATATCTAATACATTTTTTTTTTTTGGAGAGATTCTGGGGGGGGTCCAGTACCCCTGGACCACCCCCGTAAATACGCCACTGTATACAATTGTTATTAAATCGTCGAATAACTCACTTCGCCCATTGTATCGTGACGTTTGTGAGCGTCGTGCCGTCCAAATCTTGGCTTACACTCCGATGTTCTATACAATTTAAAAAACATTTTTTTTTTTTTTTATAGAACAAAACTTTTATTTCACACAAAAGATTTTACTACAAATATAATAAAATATAAATATACATCGGGGACGTATAAGTATAGGTAGGTACACATAAGTCGTACACATCAAAGAACAAGGCGGTAATGTTACAAACTGACGAAATAGAAATTCTGCAACACCCAATGATTGTAAAAATAATTATAATTACTATTATAATTGAACAAATAATTATAATATTATGATGTCGGGAAATCAGAATAAAACTATTCAACGGCAGCTGTAAATTGTAATGGATGCCGCGTAACGAAAATACGACGATAAAAACAGTAAAAGGGGGATTATTGTCGACTGTCGTTTGGCGGTGTTTATAACGAACTAAACATTAAACAATTTGTGTTTTCCATTGGTACTGTAAGCAGAAAAATTATTTTTTTCGTGTAACGAGTTAAACAACAAATGAACAAACTGTGCCAATAGTTTTTTTTTGAAAATCGCATTAATTCGTGCAGATAATTCACGCAGTGATATTTTGATCGATTCCTTTAACCAAACCGTCACGAAAATTATTGATTTATTATCGAGTAGAGTGTACTTGCAAAATGCATTAACTACTTGAAATTCAACGTAAAAATTATTATTAAGAAAGCGTCATTATAAAATTAGTAACTTTACTCACTCGCCGACATCCATGCGTCCCTCGGCCGGTGGCGGCGCGTCACTGTCGGTCTTCAGCGGCGCCTCGTCGTGGTAGTTGTTGAACTGCATTGTATGATCCAATTATATATCAATACGACCTTTAAGTACCGTTTGAGTATTTTACTATAGTCTTGTCTGTAATCGAGTGCCAGTGTCAACACAAATCGAAGAATACAATAGGCCTAATAAAAACAAAATTGTTTAATAACTATATTACGCAAGTCCGCGGGGGTACGTCTGCAACTACCAACTGGTGCGCGCGTTCACTGTTCAACCATCAGCGTGGTTCTTGTTATTATGAAATATTTGTCGACTGCTTTATTACGAGGTATATAGCGTATACTGGTTAATGGTAGTCGGTTATAAGTGGTTTTGAGGGGTGGTGGCGGGTGTGATTATGGGGTAAACGTGACCTTGAATGAGCGCATACGTGTGTCCCGTACACGCACAGCGTTCCTGCGGGAGACGTGCAAGCCTCAAAGATCGGCAAGCAGTGTGGTACGGTACTACAAACATTCTATTCTAGCTATATTAACTGCTAGCAGGCTGGCTGTTTTAAATACGGAAAATAAAAATAAACCGAGAGACCAAAATATTAAGAGGCAAATAATTATTGGATAAGATAGAACTATTTTCATTGGTTATTTTTCCATAATCGATTAGGTACCTTTCAAAAATGATTCATGGCAGATTGTTGCATTGCGTGAGGCAGGGACTCAGAGAAACTAATTTTTGTCGAGTCGAGGGCTGTTTTCTTGCTGTGCAGAGTATAGGTAGTCGGAGCATACCAGTCAGATTCTGAGCGGAGCGATGAATGTATTGATTTTACAATGATGTGCTTTTTTTGGGTCTACTGTCACAGTTGGGTTACACGACACACATTTACAAGATTACTGATTAGTAGTCGAAACTCAAAATAATGCTTTGATTTAAAATGTCCGTATCTTTTATATTGGGAAAGGGAATCAGTATCTATATAGTTGATGCATTTGCAGAGGTTAAAATTGAAAATGTCCAGTACTTTTAAAAAAGTGTGTTAAGTACGGTAATCGGTCAAAAAGTCCAAGGATAAAAAATCCGGTATGAAAAAAGTTGGACGAAAAGTCCGGGTTTATTTTTTGATTGCCGGTACAAAGTCCGAAAATACAAAATTGACTATTAAATTTGCGTTTATAATATTATAATATACCTAATGTAGTAATGTAATATTATGTTATTTAGTCAGAATATTTTTTTTTTTTATATTTTATTATTTCTTATTATAAATTTGATTGTTATTAATATAACGTTTTTACAATTAATATTGTGGAGTAAATTTGATATTTTAATAATACGTTTTTATAAATATTGTGGACTAAACTTTAAATTTGTTAAATTTATCTTTAGTGAAAAGAAAAAAAAAATTGGAAAACAAAGACAATTTTATATTTTCGGACTTTTTGTCCGACAGTAAAAATTTAATCAAAAAATAAATCCGTATTTTTAGTCCAACTTTTTTCAATCCGTATTTTTTGTCCCCAGACTTTTCGTCCAAGATTCATCAAGTACACTAAGGTAACCCAAAACTTTAGTTGTAAATCACATGTTGATTTATAGACAACTGTCACATTCAATATGACTAAACAATAACAATATTGAAATTCAGTAATTTAAAATCTGGACTTCAAGATTAATAATTTCATTGTTATAAAATATTATTCAGTTTTTTGTTTTGATATTAGGGTATGCTTTATCATACCAAACACTCTTTAGTTATATCTATAGTAGAATAGTACCTCAGAACTAGTATGAATACATAGGTAATATATTTCTAAAGACACCATTGTATTAAGGTAAAAATTATATCGTCCAGTTTCATTCTCAACAATTTACCATAGTTTATGTAGATAGTAGAAACTAAATACCAATAAAAGGTTCTGAATACCTACTTAATCTGTAATAATACAGAAATTTGTTAGTAATAAATAATAATAAATAATTATCAAAAATATTTATTAAAATAAAATATGTTTGAACTCTTTACTATAGTACAAAAGAAGTCTCAATACAAAAATTATTATACAAATAAGACCTGTTAAAAATAAACTAAAATGTTAAACTTTATAAGTAGAACACCCACATTTTGTAGAAAATTACATAAATATACCTAACTGTCATAAATAATTAAAATATTTAAGTTTTAGTTCATATTCATACAATTTGAAATGTGGAGTGGTTGTGATTTTAGTGAATTAGGAGACAGTACAATTGTATTGGATAGGTGTCATTTTGAGTTACCACAGAGAGTTGTGATGGAATTTAAGATCTCGTTTTACAGAGTATCCATCCATGTCAGTCATAAAAGCACCTTTACTTTCAGGATTTGGATTCTTTTTCTTGAACTGGTTATCAACACTATAAAATCAAAAAAAAGTTTAATTAAAAAGACTATATATCAAAATAATCATTAAAATAGTTACTAACAAATCGGTGTCTTGGTTGTACTTGAACTTAACAAATGCAGCGTTCCCTTCGCCTTGTATAATCTATAAAGTATAAACGATAACAATGTATTAGTATTGTAAATAATGAACTATAGTTAAAATTGAAACTTACTTCAGCCATTGAATCATGATGTTTATGAGCTCCATGCCGTCCAAACATTGGTTGACTCTTATAAGCTACAGCTCTAAGAAAATATAATATATTAGATTTTTTTTTTAATATTTTAAGTTCTTTAAATTATATTCATACCGATTTCCAGTAATGTCACTGTTATTTTTTTTCTCTGCATTTGCTGTAAATTTAAATGTTAATAGACAATTGTAAAAAAAATACAGTTTTAAAACATTTAAAATTCGTACATGAATTGTGAAAAAATTCTTCAAAGATAACGAAATTGTTTCCCTGGTTTACCAATTTTGATAATTGAAAATGCTTCCACATAAACTGCAATAGTTTATTAGTTGGCTTATCGATTGCTAAATGTTTGGCTTCTAAACCAATATCCTAAAAATGTTGAATAGTAATTTTTAAATATTAAGTACAAAATATTCAGAATCATGTTAAAATAATTCTTATAAGAATAATGAGGTTATTATACCTGTAGCATGCATTGAAGCAAACGTATTCCATAACCTTTACGCTGTTTGGACTCATGTATGTAAAAATCCAACAAACAGTAGACCTTGGCTTCTGAACGGGAAGCTTGTTTGTCGTATAGAAACAATTTTTTCCATCCCATCTTCAAAAATCCAACAACAGCAAAATGACTAGTAAACAAAATACAAATAGAGTAATTTTTGTTAGAAAAAAATTAATTGATCAAAGATAAACATTGGTAATATATCATATATGTATAACTTACCCTGGCTTAATGTGTTCGGTCATCATATAAATTACATGATCAGAATTGACAAGTCTGTTGGCGCTGGTTATTGGCACCTTAAACTCTTGAGATACAGCTGATGCTTTACCCATTTCGTCAATGATCAATCTCATTATGTTTTTCAAACTGTAAAAACGCATACAATGTAATATTTATAAAACTGTACAGGTCATCAAAAGAATAATAGCAAAAATTGAATATCTACTGTAGCTTGGTTACATTTTCATGCTTCTAATCAGAACATCTGTTATAATAATATATTATAAGAACTCTACATGGGGTGGAAAAATAAATCGAAATAATTAGATTTTTTTTCAAAATATAGGTAGGTATCCCAAATAAAAATTCCGAACTATTTTTTCTCAGTTCTTCCAGTTTTATCCCCCCCCCTCCGTTTATAAATCATATTTTAGTTTAAAAATTAATTTCGGGGTCTGTGCTGCACTGCTGCTAACGATTTAAAATATACCTAGGTAAATATTATGTCTTAAATAATGGTGCTGTTGATAAAATTCCAGACCACCCAGAAAAAATTCCAGTTGCGCCCATGATGTAAGTACCTACTCAGTACTTACTCGTCGTTTTCCTCGTGTCCCTCGACCGTTAGTGTGTTATTTATCTTCAGCACCTCGTCGGTGGCCACTTTGCCGATGTTGAAGTTAAACTCCATCGTCGTCTGGTGAACGGTCTATACAAGGTAAATGAAACCTTAAGACGTGAATACTGTTTGAAAATACAGAACAAGGATTCGTGTAGAAGGGCACAAAATATTCTTCTTCGCTGTTATTCGATATTTTGAAAGCCTGACAAAATACACGACGGACAGAGAAGTGAAAAACTGAAACGCCGAACAAACGAATAATAAAACGCCCAACTCGATGGCGGTTGAAGTCTGCGGCGGCCGAACGGGCAGGCTGTTGACGGGACGGACAAGAAAATACCAGGTAACCGCCTTTCCGAACCAAGTACCAAACCCACAAAGTACCAACGTCCTACAGGCCTCACTCCGAATTATTAAGCGCCGATTGTTTAACTGGAATGAGGTAACGTTTTTTCCATGAAAATTGGATAGCGTTTTCCGAGTAGCGAGTACCTACGTTTTGTCTCGGGCGCGGGGCGGCTCCAAAGTCCAGATGGTGTCCAGGTGCAGACGCGAGATGATCACTAATAAAATAATACGAATATAACAAGAAAACCGATGTACGTCAAGACGTATTGAAAATATTATTTTGTTAATATAAGATTATTGAAGGGCCTATACGGTACGCGCATTGGGAATTCGCCTTTTCCCGACAGCTACGGACTGCGGGCTACAATTATTCGGAAAATCGCGTACTCGCAATAATATTCTCGTACGCTGGAAATTATCATAATATTACTGGCAATCGTTTTTCAAATAATAGAAATTTAGTCTGAACTCGTATTCATTTACAACATTACAACAATTCTATTAGTGTGTCTACTTATTTAGTGCCTACGGAATTCTGAAATTTTAATTCCCCTTAATTGTTTCACCCTTTTAACCCTCGTGTGGTGTATTGTTATCATAGTTTATACGACCTATGATGGCGGCTATGGAGTACGAGACCAGCGATGGTTATTGCAGTAAGGGTCAACGGACCGAGATTCAAGAGTCAGGTAATTTTAAAATTAGACGCTCCAAAGAAAAAAAATTGCAGAAAACAGGTGGCAGCCGCCATTCGCCGGGTAGGGTAGGTCAGGGCCGTCGTCGTCAACCTCCGTGCTCGGCTCTCGTCGTAAACAGGACGCGGTGTCGGTGATGTGATTATACCTACGTGATGACAACAAAGTAAAAACCGAAAACAACGACAAACGTCGTCGGTAAAATTAAGAAACCCGACAACAATATACTGACGTTCATCACAGTATCACACGCCTGCTATAAAACGTCTACAGTAGGTAAGTTATAAAATTGAAGTAAGTAATAATACCCCGGCTACGTCGTTTCGCAAATTTTTAAGACAACGGGAAGCATTGTAACATGGACTTCAGCGGGAAAAATGACGAGTGAGTTGTATGAATATTGTCCTTAATTACTATTTACTACGTAGCTGGTATTATGATCATTACCAACGTAAATACGTAATTGTTGTTTTTCGGGCGATTATTCGTCTAGTCAGCCGGCGGGGCGTCAGCCATTTTCTTGTCGAAGTTTTTTACAATAACCCAGAACTCCCAATAAAATTTGTTTTTATTTTTTTTAATGTTCTGTAGTGGTGAATTAACTAATGAAGATAAAGTTCTGAAAATCTTCACTGTACTTCTCCTAACCAATGTGAATCTAACAAGACCCCAAACAACGAAATCCGCTCTCCGGTTTCTGAGATCTATCTCACCAAATTTAAATGAAAATGATTTTTTGTGGTGCTGTTTACACCGACATTTTTCTGGATTCAATTGTTATACCGCTCCGTGTGATATCAGTTAATAAATTTAAAAAATTTAAAATCAAGAAAGTTTACATGCCGATCCCTGATTTGGCAAGCGTTTTTTTTTTGATAAAGGTAGGCTAACTTATGAATAATCTTGTATTTCATTTTCAAATCTTAGATTTAAAAAAAAAAACTTTATGAATTCTCAACTCAAAATAATTTGCTAATTTTCATGATTTTTCCGTATTTTGTCAAGATTTGAACTTTAAATGCTTATACAAAAAAACTGTGACCAAGGATCTTTAATATTTTTTAAACGCCATTGTAACAATATATAGTAGGAGCCTTGTATTAATTTTTCAAGCTTTTTTACCCAACAAATAAAGTTTTATTAGAAAAAAATACTAATAAAATTGGAAACAGAAAATGTTCCTAAACAGTTCAAAACCAATCAAAATATTTTAAAAATTTTATCGTGTATTGAAAATTCAAATATAAACAACCATAAAATATTTCGTGTATAATAGATATATACGTTCATATGTTGTAGAGTTACACCAAAACCAAAATCGATTTTGTCAAAAACCGATTTTACGTAAAAATTCCCGTTTTTCCTTAATTTTTATGTTGTTTTTCCAGGCGCATTTGAAAACTATTGAGAATTTTAAAATTTGACCTCCTGAACGCACCAACTAGATTCACTTTTCCATTGGACAAGATACTGTTGAAGAAAATCGAAGCAGTTTTACTGCCATAAACAGTGATAACAAGACACAAAAACAAAAAAATTTTAATTTAAAAAAAAACACATTATTGTAAAATCAATGCATTCATCGCTCCGCTCCGAATCTAAAATGTAAAATTAAATTTAAACTATTGAATTCTTTGTGACGACATAATAAGTCGAATTTCTATAAAGACGAACCTCGAATATGTAAGCATTAGAAAAACGATGCAAATGTATCAAGTTCCGGGCCCTATAATTATATACATTCAGTTTAGTAAGTATCAATTTATACTGTATATCAGCTCTTAGGTATCTTGATAATAACCTATCCTGCAGTACAGGTTTGTGAAAAACTTTAATAAATGAGTGAAAGACTTTTTAAACCTAATTGATTTCAAATATTCTTTTAATGAATTATATGTCGAAATTTCACACTTATTTAATCCTAATTTTGTCCTATTAAAATATATTTATGTTTTCGATATTATTACCAGTAGACTTAAATCCAATATTGTTACAGGTAAATCGCAATAATATTGTATTGTTATTATATCTTTAAATCCATTTTTTGTTTATCCTCTTTGGGTATTACTGTGTTTTGAATGTTCGATACGATATTTTTTTCTTTTTTATATGATTGGTTTGACATTTAGGTATTTATTGCTTCAACTGAATATAATTCTTACATTATTTTTTTTTTTTTTTAATAAGCAACGTTTTATACAAGTTGTTATAAATATTTTAGATTCTGAGTTTAAAGATGAATGTATTGATTTTACAATGATGTGTGTGTTTTTTTTTTTTTTGTGTCTGTGTACACGATAAGTACTCGAAATAATGCTTCGATTTTCAACTTCAGTATCTTGTTTGATTGGAAAGTGAATATTGTTGGTGCTTTGAGGAGGTCAAAATTTAAAATTCCCTCTAATTTTCAAAAGCGCCAAGAAAAACAAAAGAAAAATTAAGGAAAAACGGGAATTTTTAGGCAAAATCGAATTTGTTTTTGGGTGTAACTTTAAAAAAAATGACCGACCGTAGATACATGAAATGTTCACTGGTTGTTTATATTTGCATTTTCTATACACGATAACATTTTATAAATATTTTGGTTTATTTTGAACTGTTTAGGGAAATTTTCAGTTTCCAATTTTATTAGTTTTTTTTTTTTATGAACAAATAAAATTTTATTTGTTGAGTAAAAATACTTGAAAATTTAATACAAGGCTCCTACTATATTGTTACATTGATATTTGAAAAATATTAAAAATCCTTAGTCACAGTTTTTTTATAAGCATTTAAAGTTCAAATCTTGACAGAATATGGAAAAATCACGAAAATTAGCAAAGTATTTTGAGTTAAGAATTCATAAAAATTTTCTTTTTATATCTAAGATTTTAAAATTTAATACAAGATTCCTTATAAGATTATCTACCTTTATCAAAAAAAAATATCTGTAAGAAAGTCAAATTAAATTTTTATGAGAGTTTGAAATTCAAATTTTTACAACATTGGATATTCACTCGATTTCTCATGTAGCGATTGTCTTATTTTGTTATGATTCAAAAACGAATAGCTGTAGATACATGAAAATTTCACTGAATGTTTATTTTATCAATTCTTATACTTGATAAAATTTTCAAAATATTTTGACTTGTTTTGAACTGTCTACGCCGTAGACTCTACGGACAATTTCATATTTCAATTTTTTTATTTTTTTTTTCTATGAATATCAATAAAGTTTTATCTGTTGGGCCAAAAAGTGTAAAACAAGGCTCCTGGTATATTGTTATAATAGCAGTTGAAAAATATTAAAAATAGGTACCTATTATATGTCAATTTTTTTTTTAATACCATGGATAAGTATATATAGTACGTCTTATACCTAGACTGACATACCGTCTCTGCCCAGAATCGTTTTTCTTATACAATGATATTGTATCATTGAATCCAAATTTAATACCATCCATTATACAGTGACTCACTAGTCACTTGTTGTAACCTACTGTACAGCAGAGACTGTAAAAACTTTTTTAAATTGTTATTTATGATTTTTGCAGTTCAACAACTAACAAAGTTGAGGAAATGCATGGGCGGCATGCTGCTCACAAACATAATGACACAATGGGTGAAGTGAGTTTAGTTCAATAATTTATAAATTTTAAATTTTATGAAAATAAATTGTATTATTTTTATTAGATTGTACCAGGCCAAGAACTACCTGATAATGTGAAGGACAATCATGGAGTTGATTTGTTAGTAATAGTTAAATTTGTATACCTATATTTTTCGATGTTTTTTGATGAACATTTTTTTTATATAGGGTTGATAATCAAGTGAAAGAAGTAAATCCACATTCTGAGAGCTTGGACACATATCAAACCGACGAGTATGATGACTGCTTTGATGAAGATATTAATATCATTACAGCTCCACTTGATATTTAACAACCCTACCCTTAGGTATTAAACTATTAAGTTATTCATGATCCACATTGCTGTACTTCATTATTGCAAAATATTTAATTTCACAATTTCATACTTAAGCTATATATTTTTTTATTGGTATACCTTATTAGACGTAATAACCATAAATATTTATCAGTTGAAGGGTTACTGGGAAAAACGATCATAGTTAGAAGAAAGAAAAAATCAAATAATTATAGTACTTTTTGGTTAGTTTCATAACGAATCGACACGTGAATCGAGTTATGGAAAAAATGATATAAAACAGGTTTAAATATTACCATAACGGGAAAAAAGGCCAGAGTCCACCTTTAAAACTGCAATACTGAACATTTTAGGAATATTGACTATTATCGTTTTTCCCCGTAACCCTTCAGTTATCTTATTAAATACATACTTTTGACAATAAAAATGTGTTACAGTTCTTTATCGTTATACACTAACCTTACCTTTAAAGTTTAAAATATCTTAACTACAAATATATATGAATTTATGATATAAATATATGAACCAGTGGCGTGTACAAAGGGGGGGAAATTACCCCCATTACCCGTATTATTATTACTTAAAAAAAAATATTTATCATGTTTCAACTGTCAACTATAGTAAGCAAGACGTAATGCTTATAAAAATTAACCACGATGTATAGTTAATATTTTAGCTATAATAAAAACTTACGTATTACATTTTTAAGCTTTTCGACCGGATAAATAATTTTTTTATTGACATTTACAGAAAAAAAAAATTGTAATTAATCAAATACAATCCAAGTGGGGACGGCATAACCAAGCTGGTTACCAAACAATTTTAATAAATTATCATTTTTTTCTCCAATTATTTTAAAAAGCACTGAGCATTTTCAATTTTGACCTCCTAAAAGTACCTGCAACTAGATCCAATTTGCTTCCGAAAACATATATCGGGCATCGAAGCTTATAATCAGAGCTTTTTTTCTACCAGCAAAGTTGAAAAGTTACAAACATATTAAAATACCTCAAATAAACGTCTGAAATTATTAGACTGGACAAAATAAAAATAAAATTGTAACTAAACTTCAAGCCCCCCACCATTGACAAATCCTGGGTACTCCACTGATATGAACTTAAAATAGAAGACTAAGACAAGTGTTTGATCTAAACCTCTCAACATTTTTTTAATTGTTTATTATTATTTGTTGCTTTCGCCTTTCATAATATATCCATAGTACATAAGAAGTAAAAATAATAATCTTAGTGGAAATCGACAATAATTATTACCATCTTAAGTAGGTACAGTAATAGAACCTCAATAATCCGGACTACTGGGGCTCTAGGTTGTCCGAATTAATGAAATTCCTGATTAAACAAAATAACCAAAAAACGTGTTTGTATTATAGATTTAAGAATATTTTTACTATGTAATTATTAATTAACAATTGGATAACTCCAATGTCAACATAATATTATTGGATTTTGTAGAAATAATCGCGATCACATGCATTTTAATTGGAACTCGTTTTCGTGTTTATTTTAGTCTGCTGCTCAAACTACACGTTTACGCGTTTATGTCTGTTATTAAATGACTGTCCGGATTAAGCAAAGTCCGGTCTAATAGGGCCGGATGAATGAGGTTTTACTGAATTTGTATTTTTTAAGAGCTTTTCTTCAACTTGTATTTTTCTGTTTTGTCAAGACAATAGGTATTGTATGTTATATATTGTTAGATATATATTAAGCTATATCAATAGTTAGTACCTATATCACAAATTGAAATAGTGCTTGTAAAAGGAAAAAATAACAATGCCCAATGTCTTATATTTATATTTCAAGGTTAAATACTAATTTCTTTAGATAATAGATAATTAATAGTTTTAATAAAATTTAGTGAACGTCACTCGTTTTTTTCAAATAGAACTTGAACGTGGACGACGTTTATATATTTAATGCATTTGAACGATTTTTAATACTATTATGATATATAATATATTAGGTACGAATTATAAAAATAAAATACATGCAATTCCAGTGGGCACGCCTGTGCATAATACAACAATAATAATATGATTTCCATGAGTTTGTATTCGTATTTATGATACATATAAATAAAATAAAACGCATTCATATTTTCAAAGAACGTGTCAATTTGAAAAAAACATATGAATTTGAACGTGGACGAGTTCTTTTTTTAAGCACTGAATGTGTAATGTGTAAAACTGTAAACACTGAAATAGGTAGGTACCTATATATAATGTTAGGTATGTCATCATAAGCTCATAACCAGTAGGTTATATTCTATGTGGTATATAAGTTTAAAGTTATTTCAGTAAAATGAGTACCTAGGTAATGAATGTTTCTTTGTGACTAGTGACTATATATACCTACATAATTAGTATTCATTACTATTATCTTCCACCGCTATGCTCATAGCAATGGAACAAAACACAAATCTGATCAGCATCAACAAACAATAGTGAAGCGTGGAAATGGATATTATTTAGCAGCTATCGTTATGAGTAGTGATAAAAAAAATTAAGTAGTTAAAAAATTTGGCCCGGGAAATTACCGTGTGATAGGCTCACCCAATTTATTATAATAATCATTTTCTATATACTTTTTTGTTTTTAGGAAATTTTTATTTATAACTTAATATAATATACGTGTGTAACTTTTTTATTTCATTAACACGTCGCTCAGAAGTTTCATATGGGTTATAACTATATTTATTTATTAAGCGTCTGAAAAATCTGTTTAAACTTTAAAATTACAAATGAAAAATAGGTGAGCAAGTGAAGTTTGAAATATCTAATTTCGCACCAATTTGAAATTTGAATATCTATAAAAAAAACGGTTTGTATATTTTTTTATATATTTTAATTAAAAAATTTACTACTTACGAGAAACGCTGTTTGAAATGTTCAATCCCTAGACACGAAAATTTAACGTTTTATAAATTTTAACTACTTCCAAAATAATTTGCGATTTTTGTGATTTAAATAAATGATGTAAGAATTTTAACTTTAAATACTTTTAGAATTTAAAATGTCTACATAGATCTGTCAAAGTATTTTTAAAATATTATATTCTTTTACCCGATCCTGTATAGAAAATGATAAAATAAACATTTGGTGAAAATTTGAAGTATCTACGGTTATTAATTTTGTCTTTTGAATTAAGTACACCAAATAACAAAATCTGATTTTGTCGAAAACAGGAAAATTCAAAATTATTTCATTTACCTGTTCTAAAAAGTAAAAACCCAATTATTTTCAATCATAAACTTGATAACAATTAATTACTCTGTGCAACAAATTATTTATAAAACGACCCCGTTTTAAGAATGATGAAATTAGCAAATGGGAAAAACCCATCTCTTCTAAACAATATTTTTTTTATTATAATATATTAATTATTATTATCCTTAAGTGCTAAGTATGTGTATTATTAAATTATTAATTACTAGCTCTAAGTATAACTCGGGGCCCGTTGGAATCGCTGAGAGTGGGTACCGATTTTGGAGACAATGAATTATAAAAGTCGCAAAGGTTGTAAGACGAAAGTTTAGGATTTGTGATAAGGATTGGAGATAAGGCTAGACGCTTTGGCGGGAATGTTAAAAGTTTGAGTGTCTAGCAATCTGTCACAAACGTTGTAAATGGATAGGCTGGATACGATCTCCAGGATCACCATATAGAGTATACCTGCACATAGAGTGGTATGTGCCGTAGCATGACCGGTGCTTTATCATATGTAAAAAGTGTAAAGTCGAAAACCGTGTTGGAGTTTCTAGCAAGTCAGTCATCTCAAGTCAAAATCTATAAACTTTCAAGTTAGCCACTTAGGTAGGCAATCCGACTTCGTCGGATCGCGGACTATGTGCTACAGCAAATCAGGTAGGCAATCCACCTGCGGTGGATTGCAGACCCGATATCAAGCGGCTATAAGTGAAAACCCTATCACACAACTTACGAAATAATTTACGAAAAATTCAAACTATATACATACAAACAAATATGATATGTATTTATTGTGTGATATAATATAACAATGAACATTTTTAGAACATTTGCAATTATAATTCCTAAAAAATATTAACATATTGGTAGATATTTAGATACATACTATTATATTAACCAATACATATAAACATGTACCTATAGTGTATATATATTAATTTAAAAAAAAATTGCAAAAACCTGCATGTTATTTGTTAAAGTGTCTATCAAGTCAATCATCACCGTTTAAGACGAAACTAAAATGAGCAACCCGTCTATTACCTATATATAGTAGGTATATCACATAGAGTGGTATGTGCCTTCGCATGTCCGGTGCCTTTTCTTATGTAAAAAGTGTAAAGTCAAAAACCGTGTTGGAGTGTCTAGCAAGTCAGTCATCTCAACTCTCAAGCCAAAATCAAGATTAACTTTCAAGTTAGCCACCTAGGTAGGCAAACCGAAATAAAATACAAACTATATTTATATAACAATCATGGACATTTTAAAAAATATGCAATTTTAATAATTCCTAATAAAACAAATATAATATGTACCTATTTATTGTGTGATATAAAATGATAATGACTTTAAATAATAATAATGTACGATATGTTCCTGTATTATTATATTATTATTTAATTTATATGAAAAATAATGTGAAAAAAAAATGCAAAAAAAGTCGGGATTCGGGCGGCCGTGTAAACCATATGGCATTATCAGTTTCAAAGCCCGGACGGCGTACGACGGATTTGAACCCGGGACCTACGTGTTTCCTACCTAACGCCTAACCTACTCGGACACAGTTTGAGATATGTAAGACAGTGAAAACATCAACAATTAAGCCGTGCGACTACGGAGCGACGTAAACCGATATATTCGATGTACATCGATGTAATCGCATATAATTCGCTTGTAATACGCGCATCTCCCATATATATATTTAACGGGGCGTGTGAAAAGCGTTTTCCGTTAATAATTATTAAATCATAAGGAAAAATTAAATTAGACACGTATATACATGTATATATACGCGTACGGCTGGCCGGTCGCCGGCGTAATTTCCAAACGCGATTGCGAGGTGAACGAACCGATTTTGGGGGAAAAGCGCATATAAACGGCTTCAAAAAGACTCGATTCGGACACAAACGGGTGCGATTGTGCGAATAGACGAAACGGAGGGAGAAAAGGAAAAAATCGGCAAAAAAGTCCGGTCGGGAGTGTATTTATTGATCGACATTGCACGAATATAAACCGCACACCGGTTACTTCGAATTAAGTATATTAAAGGGCGAAAAGATATCGTGTAAAAACAGCTAATTTTCCGAAAATCGGCGAAATGATAGGAAAAGAGGTGGTAACGAAAAACGTTTTAAAACCGACCGCCGCCACTGCGAAGGTACGCGATTGGTCGCGCTATAAGGAATCGACGGGACCTGGCCGGCGGGCTGGGGAAACGGAGCGGTGCTTCTTTTTTTACTCCACGGTTTCACTCTAACTGCGTTTTCCGTTCCACGGGTTGCTTGTATTATCAGTCAGCTGTTCTTCATTTTATAGTATTAGATTAGATAGATAGATTAATGTTGTATTAAAATGTCAAGGATCCGTCCCGTTTATTATTATAATAAATAAATTACTTAGACAGGCATTGGGCGCATACATTTTGACAATGGTGGGCAAGTTAATGAAAATAATTAACTGTGGAAAGTTAAGTTAATTCAATTAAATTGCCTTCAGTTAAGTTAAAAGTTAACAAAAAAATAAAATTTAACTAGTTAAGTTAAAAGTTAAGATGGAAAATAAAATTAACTTAACTCAGTTAAAAAAAAGTTAATTTTTTTTTAAGTCATAATATTAATAGGTATAGGCTGTTTTTAAATATTTGTCATTTAGTACCATTATAATAGTCTATTATTAAAATAAAATCAATGAATAATGATAATAGTATAATACCTACCAAAAATTGTTTCCATATTTATTTCGATAATGTTATTTTCTAATCTCATACGTTTATTTGTATTTATAACGAATACAGCAATATAAATTATAATTTATAAATATCTCGGACGACTTTTTGTTTTGTCTATTGGAATTGTCGTATTTACCAGTAACCAGTATATATTATTGATATAATGATATCCTTTTAAAGACTATGATATTTAGTTTTAAACCTGTTTTTAGGAATTGGAGAGTTAGATAAAACAAAAATCGGATTATTCAATACCATTAAATAATATTAAATAATTAAATAATAGAATTCGTGAAAATAGCCAGTCGATACAAGGATAGTATACTAATTATTACTCTTTAGTCTTTACTATAGTACCTATAGATTATAATATAATTTGATTATTATGAATTGATGATATTATATTATTAGAAAAATAAATTACCAAAATGGCAAAATAGAAAGAATGAGTTTTGTCTCTTGGTTCCACATGATAAAAATTTAATTTAATTAACTTAACTGTACAATAATGATAATTAACTTTAAAAAGTTAAGTTTAAACAATACAAAATTTAACTGAATAAGTTAATAAGTTAAAAACAAAAAAAACTAACTAGTTAAGTTAAAAAGTTCAGTCGGGCTCAGACAGCCAAAGCGATAACTAGTGCACCGCCGTAGTTTCGTAATGCGTCGCGTATCGTACCTTATCTATCCATTTAATTATCGCAACGAGGCATTAAAAACGTGTAATGGCCACGGTTTCACCAATTGTTATTCTAAACAAAAATAAAGTTCGCAAAAAGAAAACTATGGAAAATCCTACAAAGAGAGCTCTCTCGTCGACCTCCTCAAACTCCCCGACCTACGTGGATAAGAAAAACAAAGTTTTTGTAACACCAAATCGTTTCGAAGTTCTAGAAATGGAGGAACAAGACAATGTTTTCGTGCAAACAGAATCTCAGCTCGCCTCACAAAATATCAAGACCTCGCCAGAACCGAGTAAGATAAAACTCCCAAATATCGTACTAACAAACGTTACCGATTTTATAACCCTCAAAAATGATTTAACTAGCATAGTGGGACCAATGGGTTTCACATGCAAAGCTAATAGATCTAATATTATCGTTCGGTCAAACACACGCGAAAACTGGATGGCCATTAAATCATATCTGGTTGAAGCCGATTACGATTACCATTCTTATCTCCCCCGCTCCTCACAACCTTTCCGAGTCGTGCTACGCCACCTTCACCACTCCACGCCTACCGCGGATATTATAAACTACCTTAGTGACCTAGGGCACAAAGTCAACAGTATCTCAAAAATAATACACAACACGAACAAGTTACCACTTCCTCTATTTAATATAGGCCTGGCCCGCAACAACAATAATCGAGAAATATTCAAAATAACAAAAATATTAAACTCAATAGTGAAATTTGAATATCCAAAAAGGCGGTCTGATCCCCCTCAATGTCATAATTGCCAAAAATATGGACACACACGTAATTATTGCCATCACTATCCACGCTGCGTAAAATGCGGATCAGAACACTCAACTAACGAATGCACAAAACAACGGGAGGAACCCGCAAAATGTGCAAATTGTGGTGGAAACCACACCGCAAACTACAAAGGATGCCAATCCCTTAAAAAATTACTAAACCGCACCAAACCTAAAGCTAAAAAAATAAATAAAGAACAGCAACCTATTCCAACACTTGCTATACCGCCTATACCACCTCCATCTCGAAGAAGTGGAAATGAAGCCTCCAGTTCAAACTCAAAAGGAAAACCGTCATACGCCGAAATCGCAGCTAACAGACCACCACCCGATCAATCTCTACGCATCATCACCAAATTCCTCGACGAACTAAAATCTATACTCAACCCCCTTCTTACTGTATTAACATCCCTAATAAACAAAATAACACTCCCTATAACCCCTACTCCATAATACACACACACTCACACACACACACACCACATATTCCGTACATCAATAACACAAACACACAGTATATCAATATTATTATATACATAACCTTAAATTAAATTGCTATTGTTATTGTTATTGTTATTTATTTATAACTAACTTGTTAGAGGGTATCCACACTGGTGGGCCTCCCTCCTCATGCCTTTCATGTTGTTGTATTCTTTCATTACCAAATTTACTTATTGTATATAAAAATTACAGATTGTAAATATTCAATTTTATCTAATAAAAAAAAAAAAAAAAAAAAAAAAAAAAAAGTTAAAAAGTTAAAAAAAAATTAACTTTTTAACTTAACTTTAACTTTTTAACAAGTTAATGCCCACCATTGCATTTTGAATCGGATCTTTCATTTAAGTTCCACCATAAAACAATTTCGAATAAACCTTATAGAATACTAGGTTTCAATGTTTTATTAATGAAAATACTCTTAATTTTTAAACAGAATTCAAGCTTAAAAGCTATATTGTACCCTAGTACGATCTTTAAAAGATCTTGAATTAGTCCAATATACATTTTTAATAAGAATTGCTTACCTATATCAGTAATACACTATAGACATCTATATAGTTAATTAATATAAAAGCATTCAGTTATCAATTGGTTTGGATTCATTAGACCTAAGAATACAATTACCTATAACATATTATTTTTCTTAGATCTATTAAATGGTTACATTGTTTGTCCACATTTAGTATTTACTGACTTTATTAGCAATCAAGGTTCCAGGGGCGCCCGCAGAACATTATCTCAGTGGGTACAAAATTAAATTTAAGTTATACATACAACTAGTTACGTCACATATTATTTACATTATTATACACTGATTTTTTTGTTCATTAAAAAAACCCGATGGGTGCAATGGTACCCACTGGCCCCTCTCTGCAAGGTTCCCACATAGGTACTTTTCCAGAACCAATGATCTGTTTCTCGTTTCTTGCTATCGTAAAACTATGGTAGGTACAGATTATTATATTTGTCCATGTGTTTTATTGTTAGCTAATACAATATCTGCTTCTATTGATTTTTTTGATTCTAGTTGTGATGAATTTAGGTGTTATTTTGATATTAAGAAGTATTATTGATGTTTAAAATGTGTATATTATTTATAATTAAAGTTTTTTTTTTTATTATTATTTTGATATTATACTTAGTATTTACTGGTATTAAATGCTAAATATTTTTTATAAAGTCATTATACCTTGTAAATAGTTAATGTTTATTAAGTCAACATATTGGAGTCTTATTTGTTCGTTCTTGTATTTGTTGTTAATTGTATAAATCCAAAATGCTCTAGCCTGTTAAAATTATTAAAAATAAATAATAATTATTGTAGTGTATGTATCCAGACAGTAATTTTCTGCTCCAGAATTTTAGTTAAAATAAAGCACTGGGTTTAGCTATATATTTTTTCAGTTTTTGCCTAATATAATAATATATGGAGCATAATATTATGTTCAAATGTAACATGTAGTGTTAAAAAATAATAAACTATACATTTTATTATAATAGATTTTTATTGCCAATAATTTTTAGATTAATATTTATCATAGTGTATAAAAAAAATACTAAAATATGAAAATTAGTAAACTTGTTAGCTTTAATAGTTTAAATTATATTTCCTAGTATAAAAAAAAATAGTGCACTACATTTTTTTTAAAATAGCAATTACATTGTGCATTTGATTTTTTCCTACAATCTATCTGGAATAATAACATTGAAATATAGATATAGGTTGTTAAGTTATTATGTAGAGCTGTGATGATATTTAAGATCCCTTTCCACGCAGTTTCCATACTTGTCTATTTGAAATACACCCAAACTTTCAGAATGTGGATTCACTTCTTTGACCTGATTATCAACCCTGAATAAAAAAAAAAAAATAAAAAAAAATCTAAATATATATTATAATATAGACATGTAATAGTTATTAGTTACTAACGAGTCAACATGCTTGTTCTTTATATTATCTGGATGCCCCTGGGCTTGCACAATCTAATAGAAATAATACAATTTATTTTCATAATTATTTAAAACGTGTAGGTACATTTTTAAACTAAACTCACTTCTCCCATTGTGTCATGATGTTTGTGAGCATCATGGCGTCCGTGCTTAGCTTCATCATTGTTTAGCGAAGCTCTATACAAATTATAAATAACAATTACAAATTATTTATAACAAATGTACTAATGAAATAATTTAGACTATTATTAGAAAATTCCAGTCAGCCAAAACTAAATGTTATAAATGTGCGCAACGTCCTTGGGTATATAGTATAATATTAATATATAGTATGTACTTTCCCCGAGTTTCTAGGAATATATTATTAAGAGGATGTCACACCCGCGTGTGTTGTCTCCGTCTTATACAAAATATGTACAACATAACCAGTGCTCGAATTGGAAAAAATTAAGTAGATGAGCTCAAACCAACGATTTAAAAACTGCGTTCCAAGGGCGCAATTATTCAACACAGACCCGCCGGGGCTTAGCCCCCCCCCCCATCACGTTCCTACCATACATACATTTTGAATACCACTTTTCAGCAACACATTTTGAATTCCAATAGGTATAATAATATATTATTTTGATAGCAATATCTACATCGACTACATCTCACATTGTTACAGTAGAAAAAAAAATATATAATAATATACCTGTTTATTCAATATTTGATATGAAAAATAGTAGAACTCGTTATATAAATTACATCAATTGAAACCCACATTTGAATAAAATTATTTGAGCATTAGTTTGTACCGTCCCCCCGTCCAAGTAAAAAAAATAGTAGGGGTAAGCAAAAAAAAAATAAAAATGGTAGGGGAGCTCCGTCCCCCTGCGCACCCCTCCAATTCGAGCACTTAACATAGCAAAAACTGTTTTGCGCGGGACAAATTTTCTCGCACCATATTTGTTGTAGAACTACCAAATGTTCACAACAAGTAAAGAATAACTTTATCTGTGCAACAGTGCTCTTTTTTTTTAATAGCACTATCCAATCATTTTTCATAAGCAAATGAAATAAACAAAAAACTAAATGTTTAGAAGCAAATAACTTTTATTGTATTTGCGTAACCTAAAATATGGGCATCACGCTGTTTCATAGATAATTTTCCACCCTATATGTTCAGAAATTTTGGAGCCACTACTACAAACACAGAAAGATAAAATTTGTCTCGCGCAAAACAGTTTTTGCTATGTTGTACATATTTTGTAAGACGGAGACAACACATGCGGGTGTGACAGCCTCTTAAAATAACTTTTATTGAAAACGGCCCAGTGGCATAGAACAACAATACTGATCTGGGGGACCTGAGTTTATAGAGAACAAAATAATAGAAGATCAGATAAACATTTATTTTTATATATTATTAGTTGTGGGGAGGTCCCCCCAAGCTGTATTTTAGATTCTGAGCGGAGCGATGAATGTATTGGTTTTACAATGATGTGTTTTTTTTTTTTAATTTTTTTTGTGTCTGTCATCACGTTTTAGGACAGGTTAGGTTAGCAAAAGCTTGAAAATGTAATAGAAGGCTACTAATATATTGTTTCAAAGGCAGATGAAAAATATTCAAAATCCTTAGTCACAATTTTTTTTTATAAGCATTTAAAGTTCAAAAATTGACAAAATATGGAAAAATCACGAAAATTAGCAAATTATTTTGAGTTAAGAATTCGTAAAAATTTTTCTTTTTAAATCTAAGATTTGAAAATTAAACACAAGATTCCTTATATGATTATCTACCTTTATCAATAAAAAAATCTCTACCGGACAGTCAAGTTAAATTTTTATGAGCGTTTGAAATTCAAATTATTACAACATTGGATATTCACTCGATTACTCATGTAGCGATTTCCTTATTTTGTTGCAATTCAAAAACGAACAACTGTAGATACATGAAAATTTCACTGAATGTTTAAATTAGCATTTTCTATACACCATACAATTTTGAAAATATTTTGACTCTTTTGAGCTGTTTATGGACATTTACAGCTTTCAATTTTTTTTAGTTTTTTTTTCTATAAATATCAATAAAGTTTTATCTGTTAGGCCAAAAAGTGTAAAAATTTAATACAAGGCTCCTGATATATTGTTACAATAGCAGTTGAAAAATATTAAAAATACATAGGCACAGTTTTTTTTTATAAGCATTTAAAGTTGGAATTTTGACAAAATTTATCAAAATCTCGAAAATTATCAATCATTGTAATTAATAAATTATAAAATGTTCAGTTTTTATAGCTAAGGATTACAAATTCAACACAAAGGTTCTCATAAATAGTTCATACTATAACCAAAAAATCTAAAAAATATATGAACACACTTATTTTTTACAGACATTTTAAATTCAAATTTGGACGAAATTACATATTAAAAAACCTAGAATAACTATTTTAGTTATTTTGTTGTGATTGAATAATATTATTCGTGGGTACTTGAAACTTCTAAAGTGTACTATTATATATCTATGATATATCACGGTTTTTGTTGATGTATAACGCGTTATAAGTATCTAATGGGTATTGTGATATGATTAATTTGGAATTTATTATAGGTACCTATTATAGGTCAAATTTTGGTTTAGTACCATAGATATGTATATCATATGTCTTATACATAGACTGACATACCGTCACCGCTCAGAATCGTTTTTCTTATACAATGATATTATATCATTGAATTCAAATTTAATATCATCCATTATACAGTGACCCACTTGTAACCTACTGTACAGCAGAGCGACACCCACTTGCCCACCTTTTTGTTTTTTTATACTGTTAAAAACAAAATCACAAAAAAAAATCATCGACATTTTCTGAAAATGATGACTTGCACGTAAACTATAGCTGATCCAGTGATCCCGCGCACTTCGTTGCCCATTAAAAATGCCAACTCTATATGAATAATATGTTTCACATAGTACCATTGGTAACTATTTATATCCAAAAAATTCTATCGGAAAACTCGAAATATCATATAAATGGTTCCCATGGTAATATGGAGTATATGGACACACGGATAGGCATACATTCATTTTTGTACATTATACAGATATAATATAATAATATAAGGTATATATATAGATGGATAGGTAATACATGATTTGAATTTATAATTTGAGTAGGTACCTATGTTTAAAAATCAATTAGTTAGGTATATAAAAACTTTAATATCCTTAATTTATTTCATTCAAAAATATCAGAAAAATATCTATAATATGCAACTATAATTTTATTATAATATATTATGTATGTGTGTTGGAAAATGTCATTTGGTTCATTGACTTCGTGTTTTTTTTCCGTCATTAGTCGTTAATAATAGGTACCTATAATGCATGTGAAGTTCCAAATAAACAACAGTTGTAGGTCCCTAATTGTAGAAAAATGCCAACGGTCACATTTGGGAAATGATAATATTTTGTGAATGTTTTAAAGTGGTTAAACAATAATGAATATTCAACTACCTAATAATATTTTCTAAATATTTTCTTCTCATGATAAAAAAAATATTGTACTATATGATTGTATAAAAATGTTGACTCAATATTTTTATAAAGACTCCGTAAAAATGTTTTTATAAAATATTTTCAATTATATGAACTTTTTGGCCAAAGAATATAACTAAAATATTTCCTAATTATTTACGCAACTTTTTAAAATATTTTGACAACTTTATTGTTTTCCTGACAATATTTTTACCATAGTCAGGAAATATTTTTACACTGTATTGGCGCGGAGACGGAAAATCGAAAATAATCCAAACGGGAAAATGGCCGCCGATGGTTGGGCTGGTACCTATAGGCGTCCAATAATAATAACATAAGACGTAATGTCGCAATGAAAATATTCAACTCACTCGTTCTTCTGCTCTCCAAAGTTCATGATGCGATGCTTGTTATGGATTTTGGCAAACAATGAAAATTATAATTTCTTCAATTTTAACCAGCGGCAAGAGTGAATTGCGAAAGACGGCTATTGACTATTGAGTTCTGAGTGTATAGTTTGGACTAATGGAGGTTTAATGTATTGTATACATTTATTATATGATGTGACATCCAATGGTCGATGGGCATCTTTGACCTTGAAGGGGTTTCCAGGTGAACGTTGGCCTCGGTAGTTGGTACTTCGTAGTCATCGCTTGTCGACTGTTTACGACGAGTGCCGAGGGCCGCCAACCTAGAATGCGTTCCATTGGTACGAACTTCGAATGCTCGATCCGCAGCGTTCTCCTCAGGCGTGACGGAAGGGACCGGTTCTGGGGCAGGTGGTCGAAGAAACGGCGGACGATCAAGTCCAAACCGTACCCAATACAATTATTTTTTTTCATCGACATATTTATGAATTCATATTAAATAGTAAAATATGCCTTTTGTTAGGTTTTCGAGGCACCCAAGTACCACCCTTAGGACTTTAGTAATACTATATAATTCTCAACACAACAATTGCATTTGGAAAACAATTCCGACTGAAGTAGCATAGTCGTACAGACTTGTAGAGGATCGAATCAATGGCGTACCCAGGAATTTAGAACTGTTCAACTGTGGGTCTGCCTTACTCTGCCTTTACTGGAGAGAACAGTGGGCCACTGTGCACAAACTTCAACCAACTATGAACTAGGTTTACAAAGTCACCCATGCGCTCGCGATTTACCCTATTAGTTATTTACATCACATTTTGATACCAACATTCAATATAACTATATTACATGAGTTACCTATAACAAATGTTTAAGTAAAATGTAAAATTTACTTACAAGCTTTAGTATTAAAGCTCTATTTAATTAATTGTTATTTTTGTTTGTTGCATTAAAATGTATATTCAATTAAAAAATGTACCTGAAATATTTAAATCATTTTAAGAAGGGTTTATACATATTTATTATTTTATTTTTATACGTATATTTGCAGTACATTAATTTCATTTTAGTTATCACTTTTCAATGACTGATTTCATTTTCACAAGAGTGAAGAGATACAGAAAGTGGTTCTAAATTCTAATACAATACAAAAGTCAAAAATAATACATAAGGTATACAACTTATGTTATATATAATACCTACATGAAAATATTCGTCAAGAACTAGATCATTACAATAATTTTCTGAGCTTTTTCATTAGTGAAAATGTACCTACTTATTACGTTATCAAAATCAATGGTTTGAGCTATGTTGTTTTCGATGCTCAATATGGCCAAATTTGATGGCTGGTCTTCAGTCATAGACCAACTATGGTTATTTTTAACTATGGCATGTTTTGAGCAAGTCCGGATTAATTGGGCCCAACAGCATACACTTAGTGGGCCCGCTTTCAACTTTAACTTAAAAATAATTGTAACATTACTTTTAAGTTTTATTGTATAATTATTTACTATACAAAAAATATACAGGATGCATCTTATATTCTTATGTCATTGTACGCTGGTTTTTTTTTTAACAATTGTGGATCGATGATATGGAATTTCGTTAAAACAAAAACAGACGTGTTTCTTTATTTTTAACAGGCAATTTTTTTTATAACATTTTAAAAATTTATATTTATATTAAATATTATTAAATTTATATTTTGATAGAGGGGGCGCATATAATTGAAGGGGGACATGTGCCCCTCCCCTTAATCCTCCAATGTACATAATTTTTTCAAATAAAAGAATGTTTATGTAGTTGGCTTTTTTGGGAGGCCACATTTAACTGGGAAAAAAACTGCGGGTCAGCTAACCTCCCCCCCAACTGAAACAAATTTATTGATATTATAATGTACTTATACTAACTAGTTTTTACTTTTTGTAGGCTGTGAGTTGTGACTGGTTGGATCAAATGACAACAACTCATTGGTATATTATAAACAGGTACAATATTATAGATTGTACAATTTAAATTGTCAGCAGTCTGGTATACTGAGTGACCCATTATGTAAACTGATTCCAACTTCCGGACCAATATATTAGATTTAAGAATTTTTATAATTTCCATTTGCACAAATAGTGTTGGAGGAACCTAAGTCATGTTACAGTGCCTGCACCAATAGTGCATAATATAATATAGATCCAAATGTATTGTTTTCATTTTTATAATCTTTTATGTTAGTAGTACCTATATAAAACCATATAGGTACCTAGAACCAGTGGTACAATTAGGTAGGTAATTCAGTAATTGGGGACATAGTGCCACTTTTAAGAGGTTTTTCTTTTTTGAAATTTTTTTGTATATGGCTGTAGGCCATTCTATAATTTTGTGCAAAACGGAGAGCATTACCGTGGCATCATTGTGTTGACTGTTGATGCTGGGAGCCTAAAATATTATTGTATTTTTCTGACCAATTACATTTTACAGTTACCATGACAACCAAACAATAACAAAGATGAAATAAATGTTATAAGGTTCCTAGGTTGCCCACTTGCCCCTAGCAACCTCATTATACTTTTCTAGATTCTGAGCTGAACAATGGATGTATTAAATTTAGGAGACATATGTGTAATACATGTACCGATGTATGAATGTATGACGTATATACATGCAATTGTGGATGATCATTGATTTTTTTTAGTTTTTACGCTTGTAATTGTAAACAAAATTTGAGGTCGATTAAAAGAAGTCTAACATATTTCACGATATCAAAAGAAATATGAATATTATACATTTTTTTTAGATTAAAAAAAAAGACAGTAACATTTTTAATTTTTTGTTAACTAATTATATAACTATATAAGTTATACACATATTAATTAGTACCTTAACAAATTATTATGATCTTAAAAATGTATTTGTTGAACATTTGATTTGTATGATCTTACTTGGAAAAGTTATTTGTTAAATGCCCATTGCCCAGCGGTATATAAGCATATTAAGGGCCATTTTTACAATATCTGACACTTAAACGGCTGAATTCTGCCTGTAATAAAATCTGTTATTAGTCGGTTAGCGTTAATCGACACTTGACAGGACATTGTAAGAACGGCCCTAAGTACCTAACCAAAAAAATTATTATATTTAAATTATTTTAAATTTGAATTAATTACTGAACCAAAGTTGAGAAACCATAACCTTGATAATTACTGTTATAATTTAATAATAATATTAATTATTAAAAATCAGAATTTGAATAAAATATGTACTCTTAAACAGATAAAAATGGGTGCTTAAAATATTACACTTCCAATTTGTTTAGCAATTAATCTCTGGCAATAGTTCTATTCCAGATAGTAGATACTAGATAGTATACGATATACTCATATTTTTATATAATATTTGTCTACATTGTATATTTGTATACCATATTAGCAACATTTTTTCTTACATAAATAAATTATGAATTTTATATTAATTGTGAAATTTATAATCAAATGTCGAAATAGGCTATTGTTGGTTTGAAGTTTGAACTTCTCGTTCGATTAATATTGGGGGACCCAGTCATCGACACACCCAACCCTCCTGGTTGTTGTGCTAGTGCCTTTATCAAAATAAAGACATAAAGGGTTAATCGGAATTAAAATATGTTTAGATAATTTTAAAAGTCCATAGAATTATCAAGATGTTTAAATATATATTTAAGTAAAGCTTATGATCTTATCATCATAATAATTGATAGTGCATTAAAAAAGTTATGATGTAAAAAAATGTATTAAACATTGTGTATGTTGAATTAGAATGACATAAATGCAATTAATAATTTAGAAAAGGAAACAAAAATAATGAATATTTTGTTCCATTACCAATAGTAATTATTTAAATACAATATATCAATTTAACCTACTATGTATAGAGTTTGAATCTATAATTTTGTATTAATGTGAATTAAGTAATCTAAACTTAAATTAATAGTTTTTTGCACTATGTAGAGCTGTGATGGTACTTAAGATCTCGCTCCACATAGTCACCATACTTATTGATTTGAAGTGAGCCTAAAGCTTCTTCAGTATGAGGTTTCACTTCATTGAACTGGTTATGAACACTAAAATAGATACACATAAAAATATGCATTTAATTAAAAATAAATTATTATAGATTCAAATAAACATACAAATCATTGTTATGGTTGTCCATCACAGAAGAAGAAGGTCCTGTATTTTGTAAAATCTGTAAATAACATCAATAAATAAATAATTTTCATAAATATTTAAATTGTTAGTTAATACTAACTTCACCCATTGAATCATGATGTTTATGAGCCCCATGGCGTCCAAATGTTGGTGGACGATTGTATCCTGATGTTCTATATAGATACATAAAAATAATTAATTTCAATTTTAAATCTATACCTATTAAATACAATTTTACCTGTTTCCAGTATAATCATGGTTTTCATCAACTAGAAATTTATATTGTATGATTATTTGTTTAATTTTTATTCAATAAAGTTAATCAATTATGTGTATACAAATATAAGACACTTACATTCATCAAAGAAATCCTCATAGATACCAAAATTGTTTCCCTGATTTACCAATTTTGATAGTTGAAAATTTTTCAACATAAACTGCAATAGATTAGTAGTTGGCTTGTCTATAACCAAATGCCTGGCATGTAATTTTACATCCTATATAATAATATCAATATACCAATGAATATAAGATTACAATTTTAGTTTGACAACAAACAAAAATATTGTGATTGAATAATTATTATTTTTAATTTTTAATAACAGAAAATTAGGATTATTTTACCTCTAACATATATTCAATTAATCGTTTTCCATAACCTTGACGCTGTTTAGACTCATAGATGTAAAAATCCAACATACAATAAACCAAGGTTTCAGAACAGGTATTATGTTTGTTGTAAATGAACAACTTTTTCCATCCCATCTTCAAAAATCCAATAACAGCAAAATTACTACACAAATACAATAAAGTCAATCATACTGAAATATTAGAGCTTAATTTAAAAATAAAGTAACGCTGACAATTGTATATAACAAAAAATTATCTTACGCCGGTGTATTTTGTTCGGTCATCATGTAAATAACATGATCAGAATTAAGAAGCTTTTGTGCACTGGTGATCGGAAACTCTAAATGTTGAGCGATGGCTGAACTTTTTCCAATCTCGTCAATTATCAATCGTAAATTGTTTCTCAACCTGTCAAAACATAAGTATAAAATATATAATATAAAATATACACATTTTCAGAGAGTGGTGTGTTGTGGTCAGGCAATTTAGACAATCAGGAAAATTCATTTTCACCAACTACAGGAAAATTTTTTAAAGTCATTCATTATACCTGTGACATAATTTGATTGATGCAAGGGACAAGGGTGTACATTCGTGCCACATATATAATGTTTTTTATATTTTATAGGTTTGTAATTGGAATAATGGAATATGAGACATGACAAAGTGATAATTTTAGGTTTTGAACAGACTACCGAGCAATGAATGTTTATTGTGTACACAAATTTTAGTAGAAAAACAACTTTTGTGGTGGTTTCTAGTAGTAAATTGGATTTAGTTTGTACTTATGAGAGGTCAAAATTGAAAATTTTCAGTATCTTATAAAATACCTATGTTCGGGGAAAAAAAAACTTAAATTTCAAAATAATTTTTTTTTTGGTTAAATCAAAAACAATTAGGGGTACTTGAGCACCAAATGTAGGTACATGAAATTTTCACCAACTGTTTTATTAGCATTTTCTATATTATGTAAATGATAACATTTTCAAAATATTTTGACTTTTTTTGATCAACTTAGTCAAAATATTTTGACTTTTTTTGATCAACTTAATAGTTAATATAGACATTTGACATTTACGATTTTGTTTTCTATAAATTTCGATAAAAATTGTTTTGTGCAGTCAAAAAATTTCATAAAAAGTTCCTCAAAAATTTTTCCTATAGGTACCTACCAATTAAAAATTATCGAAAATACGTTGTCGCAATATCTTTTAATAAGTGTTAAATTGTTTAAAGTTTGAATTTTTACGATATTCGTAAAAATCTCGAAAATTGCAAATTATTTTGTTGTTAAAAATTAATAAAAACTCTATTATCCTCATAAGTAAGTAGTTCATACGTGACTAAAAAATCTAATAAATATGTATATCACAATTTTTTTTTAGTGAAACTTTTTTACAGAATACAGATGGTACGAAAGAAAAAGATTATCGTCCGTCACAACACTAAGATTTCTATGGTATTAAATAATAATCTTTGTCTTATCTTTAAATAATATAAAATAAACTAATTTGAATTTAACATTTTTATTTTTATTTACCACATACAAATCTAATATTCGAAGGCGATGCCGACCTTTGCGGGCGATAATCTGTGTAGAAGAAACTTTTAACGTATACTATTAATAATTGTATACACATTTACCAATTACCAAAGCAATGTCATTGTCAACAATTAATTCAATAAACCGTAATTGTAATATAAATTACCTTCTAAAATAGCAATATTAATTACCTATATCTATATCATATCAATGTATAGGTAATATATTATTAGGTACTTAATAATATAGGCTGACAAACCTTATCCGCTCAGAATCGTTTTTCGTACACAATGAATTCAATTGTAATCACGATTTAAGGTATATCTAAAATCGTGATTATAATACATCCATTATTGTTTACGAAATACACTATATGGACACCTAAATTGTGCCTACCTACTTTCCCCGTTCTACAATGTGTTTTTTTTTTTATTATTTGTTGTGTCTGCAATCACCTTTTAGGTCAGTAAAAATGTTTGGATTTTCTTCAACAGTATCTTTTCTGATAGGAAAATGAATCTAGTTGGTACTTAGGGGGGGGGGGGGGGTCAAAAGTAAACATTTGCCGAAGTTTTTAAAAGCGCCTTGAAGAACAAAAGAAAAATTATAAGGAAAAACGGGAATTTTTACAAAAAATTGGTTATCGACAAAATCGATTTTGGTTTTTGATGTAACTCTAAAACAAATTATCGTAGAGACGTAGACACATGAAATTCAGACTGAACGTTTATATTAGAATTTTCTGTACTCCACATTTTCAAAATATTTGGTACGAAATTGTTTTTGATTATTTTTTCTGTAAATATCAGTAAAGTTATATTCGTTGGGTCGAAAATTTGAAAATCTAATACAAGGCTCCATTAGTGAATAATTATTTAGGCACCTATTATCAAATTTAAAGGTAAGACCTAAGAATATTGTTCAGGTTTTGCCCGAGCGTAAAATTTGCCACATTATGCTTTAGAGACAATATACGATCGTCCTATGGTACGCATAATAATTTTTAAGTCCACCACTTACCGAGAGTAATTAATAGCACGATTTAAGATAGTCTTAATAGTCTTAATAGTAATATTACTAATTAGTGCTTAATAGTCGTTTACTCCTGTTTACTCCGAGAGCATTAATTGTGGACCGTTTCTGCTTATAGCTAATGGACTACGGTTGGTTATTGGAATTGATCGTTTTTGCATTCGTCGAAATATTATTCCGAAATATTATACTCACTCGTGGTTGTTCTCGTATCCGTCGGCTGTCAACGTGTTGTCGATCTTCAGCACCTGGCCGACGTGGTTGTTGCTGTCGAATTTGAACTGCATGGCCATGATTGTTCGACAAGATTTCCTGAAAAACGTCTAGACTCCGGTCTAACCGCAACAGACGACAACGATATAAAAAACGTTAATGGCGTCTTCGGATAGTAGCAAGTCGGGAACAGTGTCGTACACTGGTGCCGGCTGTCGGGAGATTTCGACGTTGACCTAGGACAATAAAATATTTTATAAATATTAATAATATCGCTCTGGTGGGTGGTGACGGGTAGTGGTAGCGGACATTTGACCTTTGGTAAACACGGAGCGCAGCGTTCCCGTGGCCGACGTCGGCAGGGCGCAGGCTGTAAAACGACCGAAAATATAAACAAACTCCCGAACGAAACCATAGTACGGAATAATAATTACCGACACAATAATGCAATATTTGTTGTTTGTTCGCCTTGTTTTGCCTTTGTTACTTGTTGCGCTTACCGTGTGCAGACCTCAAATGCTTTGAGTGCTGTGGGGGGTATACGCTGTACCTATATAGGATTTAGAAATTTATTGATTGCATACGTAGGTACGGAATTTTCTGGGATTCGAATCCCCGAAAAACATAATAATATCGCATTGACTGTACTGAAAATCAATGTCATTTTTTGATATTTCTAGTTTATCAGTCTTCATAATATTATATAGGTAGCGGTGGTGTACTATTACCAGCGGAATATTAGAGTATTAGTACAATATATTATATCGTAGAAAACGGCTTAAGTACGCAAAACTATACGTTTAAAAACCACATGAAAATTGAAATTAACAATATTATCACAAAACCTATGAACAATATGCACTTTAAAATCTTTACAGAATATGCAGAAAGCAGAAATATGATAATTTATATATATAAATGACCTGTCTATAACGACTATAAGGCTATAATTAAATTGTCAACAAATTTATTAAAGACAGTTCGTGGCTTACAAGAAAAATTACATCAGATTATTATTTATTAATTATTATTTATTACCTATAGCTAAGTGTATAATATATTAATGACTAATGTATAATACTATGCATTGTGCATATATAATAGCATAGGTGCATTTAGGGGTGAGGGGGGCTAGAGGGACTAAGCCCCTCAAAAACATTCAAAGCCCCCCAAAAAAAAAAACCATGCAGAACTTTATATCATTATATTGCTAAATGAAAAAAAATATATGTGATAACTACTGAAAAAACATTATAAAATACATTTTTGAAAATAAGTTTTTTATAGCACGATTCGGGGCTAGTCGGGAAATAACGTTCCTGACGAAATACTATTTTTTATAATAAATTAAACAGTTATTTTAGCCGCAAAATATCCAATTTTCATTCTATCATACTGATCGATCTACTAATGCGATAATACTTTTTGAAACCGATTTGAATTCGTTATTATGTCTACTTGAGATAGGTCAGTCCACTTTTTCCAATTTCACCCCCCCCCCCCCTCTAAAAATGTAGCTTGAATATTTTGAAATTTCGGAAATTCCAAACTTTGATTGTTCTGTATTTATTCGGAATTTAAAGCAGAAATCTTGAAATATGGACTGACCGATCCTTAAAAGAAATTCTAACCAATTCAGTATTCAGATCAGTTTTCAGAAATATTATCGCATTATTTGATCGATATGTAGGATGGAACAAAAAAAGAAAAGCGGAAGCGGTTATTTGTATAAAGACGGTCCGCAATAGATTGATAGTAAATATCTTGCGTATAATGATAATATAATTATTGATAATACATCGCTTCACTACTTATATTATGCATTTATTATTATTATAATTAATAAAATATATACGTAATAAGTATATAATATATATTATAAGTATTGAATTGTAAGTAGGTAATATATTTTTTTTTTTAAATCCTACCTCTCCGATCGCTGCTTTAAAGTTCGAATCAACGATACTACATCGGGAACAAAACAAATTAACGCAGGAGTACCACAAGGTTCAAAAATTTCACCTTTACTTTTTAACTTATACGTCTCGGACTTCCCTACAACAAATAATACCGAAGTAGCACTATACGCTGATGACAGTGCTATATACTCAAGCGCCAAAGACACCGAAACAATAACCCAAAATATTCAAGCCCACCTGAATGAAATTCAAAAATGGGGAGATAAATGGAAAATTATGTTAAACCCCCATAAGAGCACTGCGGTACTCTTCTCCAACCGACGCCCGAAAACTCCTGGTAACTTAAATTTGTGTGGTAATAATATTCCTTGGTCACCTAAAATAAAATACCTAGGTGTAGTTCTGGACAGAAAATTAACTTGGAATCCACATATCACCTCCAAACTACAACAAGGATACCAGAGGCTAAAAATACTATACCCATTGATCAACCGACAAACTGCTTTAAGCTGGAGATGTTCTCTTTTATTATATAAACAAATTCTACGACCGTTACTTCTATACGCAGTCCCTGTGTGGGGAAATTGTGCAAAAACCCACATCCACAAAATACAAGTTTTCCAATCAAAAGTTTTGAGAACCATTTCTAATGCTCCATGGTTTGTACGAAATGATGCACTTCACAAAGATTTTCAGCTACCCACAATAACAGAGTACATAAAAAAATTAACTATCAACTTCTTCGATCACATCAATTATGCTCATAGTGCGAAATTTTATAAGCTAAGTGACCCACCTTCTGTACGCCGACTCAAGCGTGGACGCCCACACGACCTATTGTTATAACTATTATTTATTAATACATTATTATTTTTGTTTTTATTTTTTTATTTTTTTTCTTCCGTTTTGTAAATATTTAAAACGTAGTCGATAGTTTCTATTTTTACTAATAATTTTTCTAATTATTACTAATTGTTATATTTTTTCCAAATGTTAAAAAAAAAAATGTATCTAATCAACACTAAGTTAAGATGACATATGTCAGTAAAACTTTATTTAATAAAAAAGTAAAAAAAAAAAATATATTTTTTGTCACACCTGCACCGAAAGTTTGGTTTTTCATAGCGGTTGAAGCGTTCGAAAGCGTCCTTTTTCCGTCCAGCGGGTGGTAAAGTTGGAATCCCTAATAGTGCCTGGCGGTAAAGCGGAATTCCCTAAAAGTGCCTGGCGCACATATCGTTATAGGCGTGTCAAAAAGTAGTATGTGTAGCTCGCGAGGGAAGGCCATTTCAGTCTTGTGCGAAATGGCTCACTTCCCTCCCTTGCCACACAATATACTATTTTTTCACGCGTGCACCGAATGTTTGGTTTTCGACCGCGGTTGAAGCGTTGGAAAGCGACCTTTTTCTGTCTAGCTGGCCGTAAAGTGGGAATGGGAATCCCCATAGTGGCATAATGCCGGGGAAAAAAGAGGAAAGCGTATATCACGCGTACCTATTCCATGCACAACCAGACACTGAAATCTATACCACGGTCCTTACAAAGTATATACTTTTGGTTACATCTTATATACATATTATAATCTCCTTGCATGACGAGTAAACATTTTTATTTCATGGAATTGTTTTCGTAGAATAATCTGATCGTTGCATATATTCCTATGTAGTGCTTTACCTTTGCCGTGACTACATTTTTTGGTATAGACTATAGTTTATAGCCTATAGGTAATAGAAAACTGGTATAACGCGATAGGATTTGAAACAGCGTAATAAGATCTGCATAATATATTATGCATTTATAATTATTATAATATATAAATTATAACAATTTGGTGACTTTAACGTACATTTTAATGATAAGAAATCGGAAACTTTTAAAACTTTCCTTATGGACACATTCAATTTACATATGATAAACAATCCAGCAGAATCTACAAGACTACAACGAGAGATGACGCCACTATCGATGCAGCATTTTCAAGATATTTGTGGAAAAAATTACATCACAAACATACGTATCATTTTTCAGCTATCACAGGCCTGTAATTTCGATTATTAAATATGATTAATATAATAGTAATTAAATAGTAATAATAATCATTTTCATTTTCATTTATTTTTACTTTTATTTTGAATGGTTCCACTAAAATGTATTTGTAATCTATAATATTTGTTGGAGAAGAAACTTCGTTTCTACAGGGTGTCCCATGACAGTACTCACTTTTTTTTAATTTTATTTTAGTAACACAATATTATAGCGAGCACCTAGTCTATGATCTATGAGCACTTGTTTGTGATAAAATGTTATACCCGATCCCCAACTATATTTTATATAATAGCTTCTATTCTAGGACTTCGGTCGTTATGCGAGTGCCCGCACTTAAGGACGATAACTCTAATAAAGAGCATTTTTTATAGATGGGGAAGGGTAGAAAAAAAGTTTCTGGGAGGCAGTGATTGAAAAATAAATGGGAGGGGCTGAAGCCTCCCCAAATTTTTTACTCTAATTGCGTCTATGCATAACAGATGTTCGTTTCCTGTTTGCGAATATTATATTAACTATATATTTATATATTATTATATTAATTTTGCTACTTATTGCCGTAATTACTACTTACTGCCTACTCACTACTCCAGTAAGTTACTGGAATCGGACAATCAAATCATGTCAGCGCAAAACATTTCAGCCAAAATGTCGTTCATGTTGTTTGAATTTAGAAACTATTGAAAATTAAATTTACTAGTTACATCGTAAATAATAATAAAAGTTTTGACAGTTTTGTTTTGTGTAGATTTTTGGGTTTTTATTTAAGATTAATTACCTAGATGGGTTTCCGACAAGAATAGTATTAGATTTGTGATATTTAGTTTGTTATTATTAATTTTAAGTAGGTAATACAACAATACATTATTAGTTTCATAATTTATAAATACATTGATAGTATTATATATTTATATGTTATTTATCTTAATAGATGACAATTATTAAATTTATTACGTTTTATTTATGTAAAAATAGTATTATGTAGATCTTTGATTTGTTTTGTAAAATTATAATTTTCTGGTAGGTACAATTTATGCAAGTACTTAATTTAGGCTATTATTATTTACTAAGCAATATGGTGTAGAAGACGTAAAACTAGTAAACATATTAAAATAAAC